GGGGTTTAGGGGTTTAGGGGTTTGGGGGTTTAGGGTTTGGGGGTTTAGGGGTTTCGGGTTTAGGGGTTTAGGGGATTAGGGGTTTAGGGGTTTAGGGGTTTAGGGTTTAGGGTTTAGGGTTTGGGGATTCAGAATGGCATGCCATAAACCCAATAAGCGGCCTGCTAAAACCCAGGTGCTTACAACCCCTTCGTGCTACAACACCCCATTCAATAAGTACAGACACCCTGAAGGACGAGGACGCCGGAAGCTGCCGTAAGCCGGCAACAGGTACATTACCGCGGATTCCTTCGAAGAGGTTTGCATCAAGACGAGCAGATGTGGCTTAGGATTGATTTGTGAGTGTTTAACTAAAGTTTAAGGATGGATGCGTCGGGCAATCGGATCAGTGGCACAGCCTAACCTACACCCAACTCCTCGTCCCATGCGGTGGTACCCATGCCAGGAATCCGAATCTTGCGAATCCTAACCCCGTGCACACAGACGGGTTTTGGTTTTGGGTTTTGCGTTTAGGGTTTTGGGTTTAGGGTTTTACGAAATCAAAGACACATCACTAAATCCCATACCGTGTTGGGCACCCTAGACTTCAAACCCTTGTCGTATAGAAGCGTCAAGAATTGCCAATATCATTCCGTAGGGTTCCCCGGTTTACCCAAAGCCCCATTACGATTGTGAAAGGCCCCTATACGATATGACCCTAAACCCCAGACCCTTAACCCCTAAACCCTGCAACCTGCAGCATAATAATTACCCACAGGCCCCATAGTAGTTCCTTTTGGGGATTACCTAATAGGATCATAAATACAAACCACACAAAGGAACTACTATGGGGCCTATGGGTAGTCTTGCCGAGGCACTGTGTCTCGGCCGCGATCTCAAGCGGGAGCTTCTCTTGCAAGAACTTATCCTCGGCAGACGCAATGCATACACACACAGGCACATACACACACAAATACATGACCAAGATACAAAGGCATGTATGTCGAGACACCAACTAGAAAGCATGTCTGTGTGTGAGATGGAGAGTCTGTGTATGTGTATGTTTGTATTTTTTGCATGTGTGTATGTGTTTGTTTGCTTGTGCCTGTGTGTGTCTGTCGGCATAGACATGAGGACATATGTGAGCCTGCAAATAGAGTATGTATGCATGCAAGCAAGTATACATTGATGCATGTATGGATTATGTTCGCAAATACATGTATCAACTTACAAGCATATAGATGTATATATATATATAT